CATTTAATGTTCCTGATTCTACCAGAGAATGAATATTACCCCCATCTATACTAATAAAAGGGTAATATGCTAATTAGACCAGGTTAACCGGCCATCTTCTGGGCGTCCGACTTCCTTCCAGACAAAGCCATGGTGGTGGGGGCTGAGGCAGAGGCAGTTAGGGGCGATCAGGCCAAGCAGGGGAGGGCAGTTGGGGCCGGCTGGGGTTTAGGGGCAATCAGGCTGGCAGGGGAGAGCAGTTAGGGGTGAGATCAGGCCAGCAGGGGAGGGCAGTTAGGGGCAATCAGGCAGGCAGGCAGGCAGAGGGGTTAGGGGCAACCAGGTAGGCAGAGGGAATTAGGGGCAATCACACAGGCAGGCAGGTGAGCGGTTAGGAGCCAGTGGTCCCAGATTGTGAGAGGGATGTCCGACTGCCAGTTTAGGACATCCCCCAAGGGGTCCCTGATTGGAGGGGATGCAAGCTGGGCTGAGGGAATTTTGTGCACCAGGCCACTAGTTTATAGATAACTGTCAACATTTATAGGAAACAGCTTTAAAAAAAGAGCCCAGCCTTAACCGGTTTGGCTCAGTGGATAGAGCGTCGGCTTGTGGACTGAAGGGTCCCAGGTTCGATTCCAGTCAAGGGCAAGTACCTTGGATTGTGGGCACATACCCAGTAGGGAGTGTGCAGGAGTCAGCTGATCGATGTTTCTAACTCTCTATCCCTCTCCCTTCCTCTCTATAAAAAATCAATAATAAATACATACACACACACACACACTAGAGGCCCGGTGCACAAAAATTTGTGCACTGGTGGGGGCGTGTGTCCCTCAGCCCAACCCGTGCCCTCTCACAGTCTAGGATCCCTTGGGAGATAACCACCTGCTGGCTTAGGCCCGCTCCCCGGGTGGCAGATGGCAGGCCCGATCCCACGGTGCCTGCCCCGCCTCCCCAGGTTGTAGATGGCAGGCCCAGATCCCACGCTGGGTCGCAGACAGCAGGCCCGGATGGCGACTGGGCAGGTGGCAGATTGCACTGTCCTGCCCCACCTGCAGTATGCAAATTTAATGGCCATCTTTGTTGGGTTAATTTGCATACTCTTCTGACTGGCTGATGGGCATAGCAAAGGTATGGTCAATTAGCATCTTTGTCTTTTATTAGTGTAGATAAAAAAGAGCCCATGTTTCTCTATGTATCTAGGCAAATAAAAGGTGGAACACAGGGCAGTACAGGAGCTATACCTAGGTCTCGGGACCAGTGTAAGGGAGGAAAACTTTTCCTTCTACCCTTCTAGATTCTTTGGCTGGTCTAACAATCTAATTAGTGTAAGACACATTAACAGGAGTAATTGCCTATGAGTACAGGACCCCCATAAGAATATGAGACTCACAGGCAGTCAGCAATTGAGATTTATTTGCCTTACTGAGATAAGGTCTGGGACTGCAAAGGTCAGGAAGGCATTTTTAGGAGGATGGAAAGAGCAAAAGTTTGGTAAACAAATGTTTGCCAGGCCATTCAGAGATAATGGAACTCAGAGAGGACTTCAATCTCCAGTCCCTGCCAAGCTTCCCCAGACCACTACACCTACCCATGCTCTTTGTGGCTAACAGTATGATAGTTCTCTTCATAGACCAGGCCCTCATTTAAATTCTTCTAGACAGTTAAGGGGTAGGTTAAAAAAAGCTCTATGTCATTGGACCTTCATTGTCTTCAGCTCAAAATAGTTCACTTGCCAAAGTGCCACATCATGGGAGACTGGTTCTGAACCACTTTACCAGGTTATTACTTAGTAGTAGACAATATCCCTGAAGGGTGGCAGAATATGCCATCCCAAAATATGCTACTTTGGCATAAGGATTATTTTGAACTGAAGGTACTTGGCACCTAGCAGGTTTAAGAAGAGCGTTCTGACCTCCCCTTTTTCTTCCTGAAAGCAGGAGATAAAAACCCCTGGCAGATGTCCTTATACCAGAAGGAAAGCAACATCCTTATCACCAAGGACCAGGAGTCAAGGCCATGAAAAATCTTTACAAATAAGCCTTGTTAAACCACCCTTTGTCTTCCTACTTTTCCACCATTAACTGCCCTAGCTCAAGCCCCTGTGTCTTGTCATGTTTTCAAATTTACTTCTGTTTATCCAATTCAGTAAATGTTCAACTCCGTTTCTTTGGGTCTTCATTCTCTTGTGAGGACCCCCAAATACAAGGGATATTTAATAAGATGCATATGTTTTTCTCCTGTTAATCTGTCCTACATCGTTAGGTCTTAGGCCCAGCTTCGAGACCCTAACAGAATAGATATTTCCTCCCCTACCCCCTCTACCATGTTTTCCCAATCTGCATAAAACACAACTTAGTAACTGTAGAACCCCAATGTAAGCAGACTGACAGAGCCACCATGAAAACTGCCCCGAACCCAATTTAAAGCAGACGGACAGTCACTACGAAAATTGCCCAAAACCAGAAATAAGGCTTGGGGGGGAAACACGGTATTACTATTAGCTGGTGTGCATTTTTTAAAAATTATTGTTATCCTAAGGTCACTAGAGTCTTCTTCCTGTAAGAGTCTGTAGGTGCTTTTCAGAAAAATTTTAATGCTCCTCTTACCAGTTGGTGTGTGTTATCCTTTGGGTTTGAGGGTAAGACTATGCTAAAAAGAAAGAACTGGAGAGAAGGGATACTAATGGCCTTTTATGTCTCTACTGCCCATTAGAATAGGTACTTTGAAGTGTTTTGGAGTAAGGGCAATGGAGTTTACCACCCTTCTTGCCAGTTTTCCATCCGAATCAGTATTACATTCAAGAGGTGAGTGAAGGCCAGGGTAAGTTGTAGTCTATGGCCAAGCTAGGAAGGCAGTCAATGAAGTGAATGAAATGGGACTCTGCCTTTGCCCCATACTATTGAACTCTTGGGCCTTCCGAGTTCATTCAGATCTCAACAGTTCCTACTGCGATCTTTGTTCCTGGTCTACAAGGATTTCCTCCTTCAGTCAAGTTTTTTTTTTACCTCACTTTTAACATTAAATGTACAGTCCTCTCTAAAAGTGAATGAAAATATAAAGGATTTTATAATTCACTGAAGTAATCAGTAATACAAATATACATTTCCACAAATAATTAGTGATGTTTTATTTCTTAATTACATGTGCCAAGAGTAAAGGATAAATCCTAAGTTGAGAAATGAAGCTTATAGTCTTTCTACTACAACCAATTCTCCTACAAGTTTCAAAGTATTGAGCTACAAAAATCCCAGGAGCTGAGAGAAAAATAATTCTGCTAAGAAACATTTATCATTCCCAAACAAGCTCTCTGACCTTCAGCTAAATTTAAAGAATTCTGAATAAGAGTAAGCATCCCCTTTAAGGAAAACACATGCGTAGGTAGTCTGGTTTTCAGAAACTTCAGGACCAAGCAGTACAAGATATTTTGGTTGAAAGGGATGGTTTTAGAGATTAGAGATTGAAATGTACTCAAGAATTCAAGCTTGTATGGAAAACTGAAAAGTCAAGCTGGTAGAAATGTCACTGAAGTCCTCCTACCTGATGGGCATCTCTGATAGTTTTAAAGAAACAGGCTGTCCTGGCACCAGGGAGGAGAACGCACCTCTGCCCCCAGCTCAATAGCCTCTGGAAGTTATGAGAAATGAAGAGACGCACTCAGCAGCCTGCTGACAAGCTCCTTTCTGGGTGAAACTGCTCCTGAGGCTGGGCATACTGCAGAGGGAGCACAAAGGCAGCTGGCAGCTGAGGCTGGATTTACAAGATGCAGAGATGGAAGTGGCTCCTCGAAGAAGGACCCCATGCTTCACCAAGGGCTTAGTTTCTGTCATTTGGAAGGCAGCATCTTATAACTAGTAACCAGTAAGAATGATCACAGGAGCCAGCTCAAACTGGGCTCACAGAGAACAACTGTAAGCTTAAAAAAAAATTTTAATTGATAACAGATTAAAATCCATTGAAAAAACTCTCAAGTGCAGACTGATATAAATAGGTAAACAAAGGAAAAGGAGAGCTCTTCCTTAACACTGAATACCTACTAAGAGATACAGAAGGCATGATAACTAAGAGATACAGAAGGCATGATAACTAAGAGATACAGAAGGCATGATAACTAAGAGATACAGAAGGCATGATAACTAAGAGATACAGAAGGCATGATAACTAAGATACAGAAGGCATGATAACTAAGAGATACAGAAGGCATGATAACTATAATAACCACCACTGAGGCAGATGGCAGTTGTCAAGTAGACCAAGTAGATGCTACATCTGGTGGTATAACAGGAACAGGATTATCAGTGAAATCTTAGAACACCTCCCCACAAAAAATTAATCAGCTGGATGGAAATTTTCATTTGGAGTGTGGGGTGGGGACAGATATTGGGAAGTGTCAAGAATGGAGAAGAATTGGGCTAATTTGGGTAAATTTGAAGGGAAGGTACAGATTTACTAGTAACAAACTTCATACTTTAAATATGGTTTCTGAATCCAAAACAATGTATCCAGCTCCCCTTTTTATTATTTAAGTCTTTTTCTTTAAGAAACCAAAAACCAAATTAGAGCTTTAATACTGTGGTAAAAGAACTGGAGTTTTAGATGAGTCGCTGGCATTGGGAGATTCAGTGCCATCTATCTATCTATCTATCTATCTATCTATAATTCTATCTAATAAAAGACAAAAAGGGTAATTGACCGTACCTTCGCTACACTTCCCATGGGCTAATCAGGGCAATATGCAAATTAACTGCCAACAAAGATGGTGGTTAATTTGCATATGTAGGTGCCAAGCAACGGAGTGAAACCGGCTGGCCCCGGGCAGGAGCAGCAAGCGAAGGCCGGCATGGTGAGCTGGTTAATGTGCATATGTAGGCGCCAAGCGACAGAGCGAAGCCGGCTGGCCTCGGGCAGGAGCTTTGAGCGAAGGCCGGCATGGTGAGCGAAGAGCAAAGAGGGAAGCCCACCGCACCAGCCTCTGCCACGCTCCCGGGGCCCACGCGCGGCGAGTGAGGAGCTAAGCCCCTCACCCGCCATGCCGGCCCCTCCTGGCGAAGAGTGAAGGCCTCGGTTCCGGGTGCCGGAGGAAAACTGGTGCCAGCAGCCAGGGGAAGGGGCCCCCGAGGGGCCCCAAACTGCAAGAGGGCACAGGCTGGGCTGAGGGCCCCATCCGAGTGCACAAATTTTTGTGCACCGGGCCTCTAGTCTATATATATAAAGAGCCAGGGGCCGTCACATCTGAAACAACCAAACGATGACCGAAGGGGTTTCACAGCTCTGCATGGCACAGAGGAGGCGGGTCTCGTTGGAGGAGGTGGGTTGCGGCAAGGAAGGGCAGTTGGGTGATCGGGCAGGCAGGGGAGAGCAGTTGGGAGCGATTGGGCCGGCAGGGGAAGGCAGTTGCAGGTAATCAGGTCGGCAGGGGAGCAGGTAGGCGTCATTCAGGCTGGCAGGGGAGCAGTTAGGTGGCAATCAGGCTGGCAGGCAGAAGTGGTTAGGCGCAATCAGGCAGGCAGGCAGGAGAGTAGTTAGGAGCCAGTGGTCCTGGACTGTGAGAGGATGTCCGGTTGCCAGGATCAGGCCTAAACCAGCATCCGGACATCCCCTAAAGGGTCCTGGCTTGGAGGGTGCAGGCTGGGCTGAGGTGACCGCCTCATCCCCCCGCACAAATTTCATGCACTGGGCCTCTAGTTTATAAAATAATAGGGTGGGTAAGATATCAGCCCCTAAAGTAATTCATTAACTTAATACTTATCCCATTCTGTGTGTCTGTCTGTCCTCTCTAACTTGGCACCATCACTGGCAGTTGTGAAATGTACCCAGGATTTGTTGTAATCAGGTATAGTAAGACATGCAGACAGCGGAATGACTGTTGTGAAGGCAGAAGTTCTTACAGATCCCAAGAGACAGGCGCACAGGATATCATGCAGGGCCACATGGGAGGCACCAGGGTCTGCTTGGGGTGGGCTGGGAGGCAGAAAGAGGGGAGGAAAGCTTGGGCAAAATCCTTTGTTGTAGTTTTTATGGGACAGAATACATGAGGCAAGGTGTGAAAGCTGAGCAGGGTTAGGATTGGATAGTTTCAATAAATTCAGCAAGGTGTGGTATCAGGGATGGTTCCTAGTTGTCCAAAGCCTGGGTGATTAAGGCAAAGAAATTTTTTTAAAACATTTAATTGACTGCAAAGAGGAAAATGGTGACTTTAAGGAGAAAACCTAGAGGACAGTAACATGACCAAGGATCAAGCTTAATGTCTCCAGGAGTCAGGTGGGCTGACACCATGCACACCACATCATTTCTGTGCCTAATCCTGCTAAGAGCTCATGACCCAAGTCTGGTCATGAGGTAACAACAGATGGATCCATGCGGATGGTCATCCTACACAAAGTAAAACCAACTCTTTAAACCTATCAAAGATATAATAAAGGCCCAGGGAAGGAGAAGGAGAGACATGACAACTAATGCAACATATACTCCTGGACAGGACCCTGGATCAAAAAGAAAAACAGACATTATTGGAACAGTTGGCAACATCTGAATGGGATCTCTGGACTGGATGGTAGCAGTGAGTCAATATTAACATGCTGATTTGTGGGATTGTATACTGGTATGTACACGGGAGTATTTACAGGAGATAAGACAACCTACTTAGAGCTTGCTTTCAAACTGCCCAGAAAAGGAGTAGACACCATTGGGTGATGGAGCCAATGCAATAAAATGTTAACAACTGGGGAATCTGCATGAAGTAGTATGAGAACTCTTTGTATTGATCTCTCAAGATTTATGTTAGTTTGAAATTGTTTCAAAATAATTTTTTAAAAATGAGCCAAAAGGATGCCTAGCAAAGTGACCCAGTTCTGGATCTCAGAGGAGAAAGACATCAAGAGGTAGAATTTTACTTGACAAAACAAACCAAACCCAGCAGGTTAAAAAAATGCATTAAATACGGCAATAATAGAATTTAAACAATAAGTTTCTTTGTTGTCTGCACTTTTGCCCATCACGTTACTTTCTGCCTCCTCAGTCTTCTGGTGAAGGTTTGCTGCTGCCAGATCAGAGTCAGGGGAGTTCAAGGCACTAATCTAAGTAGTTCAGGATCACATTTAGGATCCAAATCCTCAAGGCTAAGCAGTAGAGACAAACATCATGCTGCAGGTCAGGACACTTGGATAAAAGTTCCTACAACTATCCAGGTCACAGAACAAGAACCCACCAGAGAAGCTGGACCTTGGACTGCCTACAGGGGTGCCTCTGATTACTCAGAGGTGGAGAACACACCTCCACCTCTTCTGGTCCCAGACCTCCTTCTTACCAGATGCTAGCAAATCACTTCTATACCAACAATCCACTTTCCCAAGGGGGAGCAGTGCAACGCCTCCATTGCCACCTGGAATGAGAGCCAGCAGAGCAGGAAATGGTTCAATCCGGACAAACTGAAATGGGTTTCGACAGTGGGGCACTTGTATGCCGGAAGAATACTGTTTCCCCTACATTCTTTCCTTGCACCTAGATATCTCCATAACGTTAAAAGTTAAGTCTAGAGTATGTTGTGCAGCGTATTACTAAAAAGTAAACTCCATTTGGTTCAGTCACTGTCTCTCTAATTTAAATAAAGTTTTTATTCAAATAAATCTTATAATCTAGCTATATTTATGACAGGGCCTTAGTCTGCTCTGAAAAGTTTGTCTTGATAAAAAAAAAAAAAAATCCTGGGAGCCCTCAGTTAATTGGAGTGTTGTCCTCTACATCAAAAGGTGGCAAGTTCTAATTCAGTGGTTCTCAACCTTCTGGCCCTTTAAATACAGTTCCTCATGTTGTGACCCAACCATAAAATTATTTTCGTTGCTACTTCATAACTGTAATACTGCTACTGTTATGAATTGTAATGTAAGTATCTGATATGCAGGATGGTCTTAGGCGACCCCTGTGAAAGGGTCGTTCGACTGCCAAAGGGGTCGCGACCCACAGGTTGAGAACCGCTGTACTAATTGGTCAGAGCACATGCCTAGGTTGTGGGTTCGATCCTCAGTCTAGGCACACATACAGAAGGCAGCTGATGGGTGTTTCTCACATCGAAGTTTTTCTCTCTTCCTCTCCTCCTCCTTCTCCACCTCCTCCCTCCTTCTTTTCCTCTCTCTCTTTAAAAAACAATCAATTAAAAAGAATTCTCTCCCCATTATATAGACTGAAAAAGTTAAATACGCTAAGATAAAATCTTGTCCAGCATAAATAAGGCATTAAAACTCTTAATCTGGCCCTAACCAGTTTGACTCAGTGGACAGAGCGTCAGCCTGCGGACTGAAAGGTCCCAGGTTCGATTCCGGTCAGGGGCATGTGCCTTGGTTGCGGGCACATCCCCAGTGGGAGGTGTGCAGGAGGCAGCTGATCGATGTTTCTCTCTCATCGATGTTTCTAACTCTCTACCCCTTTCCCTTCCTCTCTCTAAAAAATCAATAAAAATATATTTTAAAAAAACCTCTTAATCTGATGAAGCTACAGTTAGACCTACTTTACATCTGAGTTAAAGAAATGGAATAAAGTATTTTTTAAAAGAAATGTGAGGTTTTCATTTTAAAATCAAAGGCTTTTATGACTACATGACCTATCATAATTCTTTGGGATAGTTTTTGATGCATTATTAGTTAAACAAGTGAAAAGAAAAACAACCTTCAAGTCCTACTTCCCATGTTCCTGCCCAGAAACCACCCCCGCAAGGAACGGAAACACATTATAGAGGCCCAATTCCAAAGAGAATTGCAGTCAAAGGTTCCCACAGCCACAGGGCACCAGGCTGGGCATGCGTCCAACCACCACACTGCCCACTAAAGGGACAGAAACAGGCACCACTGCGCCCCATGCGGCAGGCACTGCAGCTGTGGGCCATTGGGGACACTAGTGGGCCGCCCCTCCTCCCCCCGCCGCATTGGCCAACTTTTCTTCGGTTTGGTTTGGACTTTGGAGAAATATTATATATGGCTGGTTTGTAGCTCTAAGCAAGGGGGCACATATCTCTGCCACTGCTACACCTGGTTCTCTCTGTTAAGGTGGCAAGTTCCAGGATACCCAAGACTCCCTATTTGGCAAAGAATAAATTTTCAAACACGAGGTAGACTAAACTTAAGACTGGAAATCCCACAGGGACTCCAGGCAGACCTTGGAAGGTCAAAAACGAAAAATTGGCCAAGCCAGGTGGCTCAGTAGTTGAGCATCGACCTTTGAACCAGGAGGTCAGGGTTTAATTCTTGGTCGGGCCATATGTCCACGTTGCGGGCTCGATCCCCAGTGTGGGGCATGCAGGAGGCAGCCAATTGATGATTCTCTCTCATCATTGGTGTTTCTATCTCTCTCTCCCTCTCTGAAATCAATTTTTAAAAATATTTTTTAAAAAGGAAAGAAAACCTACATCTTCCACATGGATTCACCCTCTGTTCTCTTATGAATGACAGCATTCAGATTCCCATATAGCAAGCAAAACCTATCATTCCTAGAGGTGAACTATTTTCCTACAAGAAGTAAGGAACAAATTTTACCTTAGGTCTTAAAACTGTTAGGAAAGTCCTGGCTGGGTAGCTCAGTTGGTTAGAGTGTCATCCCGATATGCAAAATCCATGCTTTCTTTAAAACTACATATGCAGGTTCAATCCCAGTCATGACACATACAAGAGTCAACCAATGAATGCATAAATAAGTGGAACAACAAATCGATGTTTCTCTCTCTCCCCTCAAATCAGTATTTTTTTTAATTTTAATAAAAAATAAACAAACTGTTAAGAAAAAAAACACATGCACCCACACACCTCATACTCTTCATACTGGCTTCCTTGTGAGTAACCTCTGAGAAAGATATGAAGATGACAAACACTCTAACAATAACATCACAAGCCCTGGCCAGTGTGGCCCGGCTGGTTAAAGCATGTCCCATACACTGAAAGGTCATGGGTTTGATTCCAGTCAACATGCCTAGGTTGCAGGTGCAGTCTCGGGGTGAGACTGCTTTTAAATCATACAAACAAGATAATTATAATTACTCCATAAAA